CTTGCTTGTCTCACTTGCTTGTCCAGCCCATGCCCCTTGAGTCTAGAGCAGCACCTCACACAAGGTCTGTCTCTGGATCTGCTTTCTGAATGTCACCCCATACTCCTACCACTGCTCTGTCCAGGGCCACCATGGCCATGACCACTTCCCATATCACACGTTCTCATCTCTCCAAAAGAACTATAGCTTGTGATGATGATATGTGGTATATAAAATATGTGTTTCTTTAGATTTAATGTTTTGGGTGTATTGATTCTGGAACACACTTTACAACTTTCTCTGAGGTGAGAACTTTCCTTCTTGCCTGCCTGCCTTTCTTCCTGCTATGGGGGATCCATCTCAGAGTCTCACATGCTAGGCTAGCCACTCCACCACTCAGCTACTGCCCCCCCAACCCTGTCATTTCTTCAGATGTTTCTCTCTACTGCATTACTTCTCTACTACCTCTGGGATACCTGGCATACACATCAGACTTTGGTGTTGCCTGTCTTTTCTGTATGTGTTCAAGGCAGCTGTCACCTCCTACCCGATGTTGGGCTCCCCTTTTTTTTTATCTACTTTGGCAATGACGTTTTTTATATTGTATGCCTCTATCCAGCTGCTCTTCGGTGTCCTGCTTTCTTGCTGACCTTTATGCTTTCCCATTCACACCCAAACTGCTTACACACACACACACACACACACACACACACACACACACACGTGTATTTATATCAAAAATCAGTAACTTTTTGATGCTGTGATGAAGCACCTTGAGCAAAAGTGACTTACAGACTGAAGAGTTTATTTGAACTTACAATTCCAGAGGGAGAGTATAGAACAGCAGCAGAAGTATGGAAGCAGGTGGCTGGAGCAGGAAGCTTCAAGGTCACATATTCAACAGCAAACATAAAGGAGGGCTGGGGAGAGGAGGGGGGGGGAGAGAGATGGGGCAGGCTACATGTTAATACCTCATTACTTAAGTTTTTGAGATTTAAAAAATAATTTATTTTTATTATGTATGCCCCCCGTGATATAAATACACGTGTGTGTGTGTGCGCGCGCGCGCGTGCGTGCGTGCGTGCGTGCGTGCGGTGTGTGTGTGTAGGCCAAAAGAAGGTGCTGAAACCCTTGAAGCTGGAGTTACAGCTGTGGGTAGTCTACACTGCTTCCTGAAAGTCCTCCTAGGAAGTCACTAAGATTGGGGTGGTCTTGGGACCCTGGTATACCAAGGCAATGCTGGAGGCTCATATATAGATATCAAGAGTAGACACACAGATAACTGGAACAGAATAGAGAAAAATCTGTTGGACTCTACCCTTCGCCAAAGTCAAAGTAAAGGACTACAGACTTAAAGGCAAAACACAAACCTGAAAAACTCCAGAAGACAACAGGAGTGAATGTCATCAACCCTGGCTTGTGGTGTATTTGAGGAAAGTTCTCCCTACTTTTCTGACCCACCACCTAGGTGACCCAGCTGCCTGCTCTTCAGTCCTCTGCATGTCCAGGCAAGGGAAGGAGCTACCTGCCTGAATGCCCACATGTCCTGCCCTGTCATGTTGGATGCTCATAGCCAGCCTGGATTGTGGCCCCATGAAAGTCACATGGCTCTGGTCCAGGTAATAGGAGAGTGTCTGGGATCTAAGGGAGACTGAGACAGTGATGAGATTTTGGTAGGGCCAGAAGTACTTGGGAGAGCAGTTGTTGGGAGACAGTGGCTTCACTACAGGGCAGGTTCCATACCCTTCATGGATCTTTGACTATTCCTTCTGTGGTCACTTTTGAGCTGCTGGCTCAATTCTCAATTAGCATGTTGTTTACCACCAGGAGTTCCTGCCATAATTTCAGGATTATTCCAGTTATTGCTCATCTCCATCTTTCTTCACTAACTTTAATGTGTGTGTTCATGTGCAGGTGAGTTATGTGTGCATGTGGAGGTCAGAAGACCTCAGATGTCATTTTCAGAAACACCATCTACTTCCTTTGAGATGGAGCTCCCTGCTAGGCAAGACTGATTGGCCACCGAGTCCCAGGGATCTGACTGTCTCTGTGCCAGGGTTCTACACACACGCTGCCATGCCCAGCATTTTTCATGGGTCTGGGGATCAGACTGAGGTCCTCATACATATAGAGCAAGTACTTTACAGACTCAGCCATCTATGCAGACTCATCCGCAACTTAAAAATTCACTTATTCTGTAGGTTTCTGGTTTCCAGCTTAAAGGATACCCTCAAAAGACTGAAGCCCAGGAACTTAGACCCCAATTCCAGAGGGTATAGAATAACTGATACAGAGGTTGGGTGGGAGGACTTCCCTAGGGGCCCAAACTTGCCCAGAAATACAGAAGTTACCAGTCTACAGGCAATACAGGGAAAAGGCCTATGGTAAAACTATAATCTGGTCCTGAAAACATGGAAACAAAGAGAATAGTTTTATCAATGACCAGTAAACAAAAGCCAATGGCGGGAACCAGCATTACCTTCACATTCTGTGATTGGCACTGCCTGTCAAGATTGGCATGGCTAGTGCAAGAGTCAAAGTGAGCAGCTAAGGAAGCAAGTCAAAGATGGACAGAAAGGGGATTTGATGTGGGACCACCCCAAATTGGGCAAGCAGTATGTGATTATCTCCTGGCTGGGCCAGGGAGGCGTGAGTAGAGCCTGTCTGGATGATTAACCTGTCTCAATAAAATTACCCTAATCTTTGCCTAGTCCTAACTATAACTCTTATACAAAAGCTCCCCATATAAGGCACCTCACAGTGTCTTCCGCAGTTCCTCTCCTATGGTGGGAGTCCGAGTTTGGCCTGTTCTTTTCTTGGTGAAGCTTGCTTTCTCTTTGCTCACTGGTGTGTCCACATCCATAATCATCACAGCTGTGAGGCAATGAACTCAAATGAACTCATCTGTCTCCATTTGACTTTTGGGGAACTGTCAACTGTCTGGCACCTTAGTTCCTGGGTTGAGAAAGGCCTTGTCACTCTCAAACACATGCATCACCACACAGGACCCAGGTGTCACTTATACACAATTTTTATAGGAGAATTTGGCTCCAAGGAGCCACCCAGCTTACCATGGCAAGATGGTCCTCCCAGTACCTGTGCCCCTTAGCACAAATCATGTCCCAGGCCTGGAGATCCAAAGGCTCCCAAACCCTAATACCCCCAGGGCTCCTACCCTGGGCCACTAAGCAGATATAGCACTACTGCTTGGCCAGTGTGGGGAGTGAGTGGGGTTAAAACTTAGTGTGAAAACTCCTAACTACTTAAAACAAAACAAAACCCTAAAGCAAGAGAAGGTCTTGCTTTCATCAGGGACCCTGGGAACAGAGATGTCTGACTCAGGGCTATCCAGAGGCTCCAAGAGTCTCTAGGCCATCTCAGTCACTGGGCCAAGGTGTCCATTAGGAAGAAGCTGCAGGGTCTTGGGGTGGAGGGTATGGTGTCCTCTCTGCCACCTCAGTTAAGATCTAGGTGGAATGCCAGGTGATGGTGGCACATGCCTTTAATCCCAGCACTCTCGAGGCAGAGGCTTCCCAGGCCTCGAGGCCAGGCAGGCGAATTCTGTGAGTTGGAGACCAGCCTGGTCTACAAGACCTAATTCCAGGACAACCTCCAAAGCCACAGAGAAACCTGTCTTGAAAAACAAAACAAAACAAACAAACAAACAAAAACCAACAACAAAAAAAAGATTTGGGTGGAGGACCATGAAGAGTAGGGTCAGGGAGGAAGATGTGTGTGGACCAGGGTGGGCAGATGCACAGATCTGGGAACAAGGTACCACACCCGCCCACAGGCTCACTTGCTGTTAGGGTCTGAATCTGAAACACTCCCTGCAGGGTCAGGTTGCAAACTTTGCTCCCCAGCTGGTGGCACTATTTTGGGAGGCTGTGAAGCCTTCAGGAAAGGGAGTCTAGTTAGTGGAAGTGGGTGGTAGGGGTGGGCCCTTGAAGGTTATACCTGGACCCTGGTTCTAGCTCTGCTCTCAGTTTTCTAGTCCAGTCTGATGTCAACAGCCTCACCCCAAGCTCCCACTGCTGGGAATGCCTTTCCCCATCTTGATGGACTGAAACTGTGAGCCAAATCAATGTTCCTTAGTTGTTTCTGTCCAGCAACATGGGCATAGCAAGGCTAGAGTAAGACATCTGTCACACGCCAAGGGCCTCACACCAGCAGCCTCCTTGTTCTCTTAGCCTCTTCAGGCCCTGTAGAGCCCACTCAGTCTGCCAATCAAGACCAGGCACTCAGTCATGTCCAACAGGCCTCACTTCCTACAGTGAAGCTTCAACCAAATGTGTTCTTAAACCACCCTGGCATTCTCAACTCTGTTCCCAGTGAGCCCTCCTAGGACCCCAGATCTGAGCTTGGATTGTGTGTTCACCCTATGCTGGGCCCCAGGCTTTGAGGGCAGCTCCATGTTCAGTGTGGCAATTGCCTGGGTGGTGCCACCCACATCTTGACTGTTCTATCCATAGCAGGCTGTACTGAGAGCTGGGAGAGGAATGTGTCTCTGGGGCAAATGGGACAAAGAAAAGGCAGGAGTCAGGCTGTGGGGCATTGAGAGTTTACTGTCTCTGAGTTGTGCGACACAGCCAGCAGTCCCTGTGCATGAACAGGGGACCCCATAGTGTTTCTCAACCTCAACTCCATCCAGAAAGTGATCCGCTATGGGGGAAGGACAATCAGGGTCAGGGTGTGGCTGCACCTCTGGCTTCACCAGGTCCTGTGTGCCACTCACAGAGCTTGGGCAGTGTGCCAAGGATCAAGAGCTTTCTCAAAGCATCCTGTGGCCTGCATTGGAAATACTCCCTTGTCTGTCTCCACGAGGAGCCAAGATGTTGGGTAGGAGCAGACTGCTGGGTCCTGAGCAAAGGTTATGGTGCCCTCCCTTTCACCTCAGGGACTGAGCATCACCTTGCAAGTCCTGGGATGGATGGAGGTGGGATAGCCACTTGAGGTGCTACAGGGGTGTGTGTGTGTGTGTGTGTGTGTGTGTGTGGGGGGGGGGGGGGGGGGGGGTGTCCTCACAACAGGGTGAAGAAGAGGCCCAGACCCATTGGCAGCAGGATCCTTTCTGGCAGGGCCCTGAACCTCTTCTGGATGTCAGGTGCTCTGTTGCAGAGAGGCATTGAACAGCATCGCCTGGTGATCTTGCCCTGAATTCCTTCTGTCAGTGGCCACTCAAACTGACTGTTGCTGTTGGGACAATGGACAGTGCAGTGCTTGCTGATCTGTGCTCTGCTTACTGAACCTGTAGAAGAAAAAAGACAGCATGTGGTCCTAGAGCTTCCAGGCTAGATGGGAGATTGGGGGCGGGGCTTCCAGTGCGTGTGGCTGGATGTGGCCCAGGAGGTGCAGTAAAGGGGGCAAAGTGGAAAAGAACTGGTTGCCAAAGAGTACATTGCTTGGTGGCACAGAATTTAGGATGACCAAGAACGCTCTGGCAGAGAACACTGAGCCTGTGGCCTCCTTGGAAGCCTTGACCCTGCACAAACCTCCCCAGCGAGAACACCAGATCTTCTCAGAACAGGTAGCACCCAGAAGGGAGTCCTCAGAGACCACTCACTGCACAGAACACCAGTTTTTACCTTCAGGCTCAGGAGCAACTGAACAAAATGCTGGGGGGTGGGGCACCAAGCCGAGGATTTGAGACGCAGAAGGAGAAACACGGTACTAGGAGGCAGCCTGAGGCAGCTTGCAGTGCCTGGGGATACAACTACAAAGGGCAGCTTATCAGGACCCCCTGCCTGAGGCTCACACCAAACCACTCCTTAGAGCGTATCCTAGGCCAGCTCAAGCCATTATTCTCAGGAAGCAAGGAAACAGGAGATGCCTGAATTGTAGGAATTACTCTGCAGTCAGGCTCAGATCTTTTTCTCATGAGAGGAGGCAGCTCTGAGGCTTCTGCACTGTTCCAGAGAACTAGAGCTAGGTCCAAGCAACTACACCACCACGGGTGTGCTCGAAACAGGTCTGTCTGACCACTTCTGGTTTCTGGACATTTTCATATTTTCACCTTTCCACGGAAATGGGAAAAGTAACACGTTGGCTTTTGTCCCATCGTAATCTCTAAGGCTGATCTTACCTAAGGTCCCACTGCTTTCACAGCCCTATGATGCCCCCCACGAGACTGGGTGGCCTTGGAAAACCTGTCCCTGGCTGGCTGGCTCTGTTTTTGCACTCCTGTTGATTTGGGAATTCAATATCACATCAGAGCCTTTGTCCCGGGGTGATTTCTAGAAGGAGTGACACACGAACAAATATGGCGATTGGGAGAGAAAAAGGAACTGCCAAAATTCAGACCACACTTTTCCGAATAGTCCAGCACCTAGAGGACGCACTGGGCCTGTGGGTGTGGGGCCACTGTCCCTGGAGCCTTCCAGGCCCGAGGAAGGACTCACTTGAGTAAACGAGCACCTCGTTGCTCTGGCAGAATTTTTCGTCTGGCTGGCACTTTATGGGCCGACACTGGTTGGGCTGTTGGACCTTGAAGCACTGGAAGCAGCTCAGGTTTTGGTCTGTGGTCAAGAATATATGACGGTGGGTGGGCAGCGCAGGCCGGACCCACCCCATTCCATCTCGCTCCAGTCCTGTCCATCCCTTACCTGGCTCCCTGGTCGCCAAGCCTCGGGCGAGCTCCACAGACACCATGGACGCCCAGAGCGCCAGGAGCAGCTGGGTCATGACTCCGTGCTTCCTCGCATGTGTCGCTGCCACGGTCCTGCCAAGATCCCTCACAGATCCCTTGGTGCCCTGCACTTGACTGCCGCGCCTAGGGGAGGAGCTGGAGCGCCGGCTGGACTCTGCGTTCCCCCCACGACGGCTCCCAGGGGGTGGCTGCACCTTGCGCGGGTGCAGAACAGCGAGCACCGCGAAGCGGGTGGATTCCCCTGTGATAATGCCTGGAGTCCGGCCCCCGGGCTTCCTTTTCTTTTCTGAACACACCCAGAAGAGCAGAATTCCCCTCCATCACTGTGAGCGACAGGTCTGGTCCCAAAATCTGGTCCCAGACTCCGGGCCCAGGAGGAAGCCGGGCAGTTCCGGAGCCCTAATAGAACCTAGACAGATCTGGAGTGGTCCAGAAAGTTGGAAGCAGGGGGAAGATCAGAGTCCTCAAGTCGGGGAAGTGGGGTGGGTGGGAGGCACACGTTTGGGGAAACAGGTGATTTTGGGTAATCAGAAATAGTGGGCAGGGCAGAGAACTGACATCAGAGCCCTGAAGCAGCAATGGAGAAGAAACAGAGCCAGGGGCCAAATCGGAGGAAGGGGCAAACTCTCTCTCTCTCTCTCTCTCTCTCTCTCTCTCTCTCTCTCTCTCTCTCTCTCTCTCTCTCTCCTCTTTTATTTTGGTGCTCCAAACGGGGCCTGTCTGGGAGGCCAGAGGTGGGAGAGGAAGGGAGGAAATTGAGAGGAAGCCTGGGCATCCAGAACCAAGTTCCAAAGACTTCTGAAACTGAAGGACCGCAGGTCCTACCACCCAGTCATGCGTGGGCTCCAAAGGTCCTGCAGCAGATATACCTTTGAGCAGGTGAGCCCAGAGGCTGAAAAACGACCTTTGGGGTTCCTCAGACCACAGCACCTGCTGTTGCTTCCTAATCTTTTCTGCCTGCAGGTAAGTCTGTGATGTGACCCAGTCCTGGGGTTTGAAAATGTCCTGCATATTCCTGGGGGGTGCCATTCAAACCTCTTTCCCCACTCCTATAAGTTCAGGGGCTTTGACTCATTCTACCTCCAACTTATCTTCCCATTGTGGTCATACATAATGTTTCCTCTTCTCAGAGTAAAACTAAGCCAACTGTGTCCTCTGAGTTATTGAAGTCAGATGGGATGTCACAGGGCTTCTGGCTGAGGAAGTAGCTTGCAGCCTCCAAGTCAGTTGAAGGTTATGGATGGGGGTGGGGTGGGGGGGGCTAGTGTCTCCTCTAGAGACATCAAGACACCTTCTGTGTCCTCACATTGGGACCAGCCACATTTGCAGGCTTTGTGGACCCTACCTAGATCTGTTTGCCATCAGGAAATGCTGCCTTAGTCTGGAGGCTCAACCCAGTTCTCTCTATGCCTCTTTCCCAGGCCTGTCTCTCACGACTCTCCCTGTAAAGGCCAAACCCCCTAACAAGGGGCACGTATCTTTCCCAGCCTGTCAGCTCATTCTTTATTCCCTATCCCCACCTGCCCTTTGCTGTTCCCTCCCTTCTCTCTTTTTACCACTTAACAAAATGTGGTGGGTTGACTGAGAATGGCCCCATAAGATATGCTTGAATGTTTGGTCCCCAGTTGGTGGAATCATTTTGGAAGGATTGTAAAGTGTGGTTTTGTTGAGGGAGGTGTGTCACTGAGGGTGGGCTCTGAGGTTTCAAAAGTCCACATCATTCTGAGTTAGCTCTCTCTGCCTTGTGTTGGTGGATCAAATGTAAGTCCTCAGTGACTACTCCAGCTCCACAACTGCTTGCTTGCTGCCATGCTCCAGCCCATGGCAGCCATGGACTCTAACCCTCTGAAACTATAAGGACCCACATAAACTCTTCTTGGTTATGGTCTTGCCACAGCAATAGAAGATTAACTAAGACAACTGATATTTTTGGGACTGGAGAGATGGCTCTGCAGTTAATTATGAGGGACATAGTTTGGATTCCATCACTATGTAAACCGGACACCCTCTGCTGACTTAATGCAAAGGTGTGCACAGCTACACATACATGAACATACACACACAACAAATCTTTAAATTCTTAAAACCTGTTTATTAAATATTGGAATCCATGTGAGTCACTCAATGGTGACAACCAATGGCAAGGAAGACTTGGCTCCTTGTTCTTCAGGTGTGGTTCTGATGGTGCCCATAGCAACACAAAGAACTCATCCAGGGGAAATACTGAGAGAGGTACCTGTGGGGAGTGCTGCGATTCACAAACACACATTCATGCCACATACTAAAATGTGCTTAGTTGGATGGACAACATTCCATATTCCCATCTAACACAGCTCACTCGTGGTTACAGGTCAGCTGAAGTTTCCTCTGCAGTGGACTCAGGGAGCCAGCGGGTAGCCATGAGCAGGTGTGGGGCCTGAGCCCTTCATAGCTTTTATGTTTTGCCTCAGGATTCTTGATTTAAGAAATGAGGAAGGTCATCAGCTACATTCCTACCAACTCTCCTGGAAAAGCTGAGCTACCTGGGGACTCAGGCATTCTTAATAAGGCTTTGACACATCTCAGAAGGACAAGGCCTCAGGCTACACCCAGAATGGACAGTGAAGGAAAGGTCACTAAGCTGATGCTGTGCAGGGCCAGCTGGTGTGTGTGTGTGTGTGTGTGTGTGTGTGTGTGTGTGTACTTGCGTACTGCGCACATGCACGCACACTCAAGAATGCAAATGGAGGCTATAGATCAAGCTAAATCTCATTCTTCATGAATGTCTACCTTGATTTTTGGGATGAGGTCTCTCATTGGAACCTGGGTTCAGCTAGACTGGCTGACCAGCAAGCCCCAGGAATCCTAGGGTCTCTGCCCTCCAGGGATGATTGTGAGCACATGCCACCAAGCCTGGTTCTATACGTGAATGCTGAGGCTCAAACTCAAAGTCCTTATGCCTACATGGCAAACCCTTTACGAACTGAGCTCTCTCTCTCTCTCTCTCTCTCTCTCTCTCTCTCTCTCTCTCTCTCTCTGTGTGTGTGTGTGTGTGTGTGTGTGTTGACTGTTGTTCTAGGGGTGGAACCCAGGACCTCACACACTCTAGAGAAGCACTCTACCACTGAGCCACTCCCCCAAACCCTGCCTTGCTTGGGTGCAGGGGCAGGTCTCACACTCAATGCTTCTGACTTAGCCTCCCCCAGCACTGATATTATGGGTATGCATTACCCTGTGTGGCCCTATCATTGCTTTGACTGTGAAAGTCACAGTGCAACATGCAGGGAGCATTGACTCTGGAGACACTGTGATGAAGCCTGAATGACATAGATTCAGGAGGAAATTCATTCCTATTGAAGCCCATCAAGAGCCTAGCACCAAGACAGCATGCCCTAGCAGCCTCTGGTTCAGGATCATCCAGGTGATAGGCAGAAAGTCCAGATCACACAGTTCCACCAGGCTGAGAGCTCGGTAATCACCCTGAACTTCTGCGGCCTGCAGTGGTGATAGAGCGGTGTGCTTAGTAGGCCCCTAGCCATGGCACCCTTCTGGGGAAAGCTGTACTTAGGTGTATCTAAGAAAATGAAAGAGTGGGAAGAGAAAATCCTCATAGGCTAAGATATGCATTAGAACAGAGGAACTAAGTCAGACATGTTTTGAGATGAACACACATGCATTTGTGTTTGTATTTTACATATACAAATGTTTAACAGATTATGGGTCTTTTCTACTGTATGTTATCTTATGTTTATTGTATGTCTTATACAAGTATGGAATTTACAGTTACATCATAATCAAGCTAATATGCTGTCAATATATCACTCCATTTTAAAAGTTTATATATGCTTAAGTTACACATGTATGTTTATTTTCTTCTTTTTGTTGTTTATTTATTTAATAGACAAGATTTCTTTTTTAATGTATATTTTTATTTATTTTCTTTTTTTATTAATTTATTTTTTACATTCCAATCCCAGTTTCCCCTCCCTCCTCTCCTCCCACTCCCTCTACTTCTCCCCTCTTCCATCTACTCCTCGGAGAGGGTAGGGCCTCCTCTAGGAAATCTACTAAGTCAGTCCCATCATCTTGATGAAGCAGGACCAAGGCACATCTCCATCCCCCACACCCCTGTGTCTAGTCCATATAGAATGGGCTCCACTAAGTCAGTTTGTGCTTTAGAGTTAGATCTTAAACCCATTGCCAGTGGCCTCATATATTGTCCCAGTCACACCATTGTCACCTATATGAAGGGAGTCTAATTCAGTCTTATGCAGATTCCCCATTTGTCAGACCTGAGTCAGTGATCTCTCACTAGCTGGGATCAGCTGATTTTGTGGGTTTCCCCATCATGGTCTTGACTCCCTTGTTCATATTATCACTCCTCCCTCCCTTTGATTGTACTCCAGGAGCTTGGCCCATTGGTTAGTTGTGGATTTCTGCTTCTATTTCCATCTCTTTCTGGAAGAGGGTTCTAGCTTCTCTGGGGTTGTGGATTGAAGGCTGGGGATCTTTTGCTTTATGTCTGGTATCCACTTATAAGTGAGTACATACTATATTTGTCTTTCTGGTTTTGGGTTACCTCACTCAGAATGTTTTTTTTCTAGTTCTCTCCATTTGCCTGTGAATTTTAGGATTAGACAAGATATCTTTATGTATACCTGGCTATCTGGAATTCACTGTATAGACCAGGCTGGCCTAGAACTCACAGAGATCCATCTGCCTCTGATTCCCTAGTGCTGGAATCAAAGTGTGTACCAGCCCAGCAGAAGCAGGGTTTGTTTTGTTTTTGAGACAAAGTCTCACTATGTGGACTTGAACTAACTTGTGGTCACCTTCCTGCTTCAGCTTCCCAAGTAGTAGGAATATAGGCATGAGCTTCTATACCTGGATTTGAGACTATTTTGAAGGTAGTCACAATCAAGGAATGTGAGTGACCCTCATTCCTTCCTCACAGGTACTGGGCCTCAGGATTCACTTCACAGATGCTTAGTGTAAGCCCAGCAGAAGCAGGGATGGCAGACTGGAGGTGTTTCCTGAGGTTGCCCGCAGTGCTGCT